AGTTATGGGACTTATAATTAGGTCAAAACTACAGTTACTACTTAGGTTATAAGTACAGCGGACCTCCAAGTAATGTCTTATGTAGGGATTCTATTCCCTTATCCCCTACTAGCCACCAATGAGTTGAATTTCTAAGTATATCCCAGGCCAGGACACCGATGCACTTTGGCATCAGTTTGGAATCCAACCAAGGCGCCCTTAACCTCAAACTCTAAATCCTAAACCCCAAGGCCATCTTGGAGTTGGGGGTTTAGGTTTAGGGGCTTTGGGGCTTAGGGTTTTGTGAGCGCATTACTTGCCAGCTTTTTGGGGTACGGGTGTAGAGGGGATTTTTTTTTCTTCTTCGGGACTCTTGTGAAGTCCTTCATTTTGTCAATGGGGATTTGGGCACCTTAGTTTTGGCACCTACCCAGTTTCGGTAAAGGTTCGGATGGTGCAACTTGTCCTTGATAATGCTGAATTTTCGATCAAGCTTGAGATTTTTGTCCGGTTCACGGTGTCGTGTTGCAGGAATCTTGTGTGACTATTTCGTGCAGATCATATACTGGCGCATACACGATCCCAAGACCATTCCACCTTTAGCCTTATCCTCGGCCATAGGCCCACAACCCCGAAGCACCAGAAATCCATAGAATCTCACCGCAAGAGGGGGCAGGAACGTGATCCTGCATAGTCCGAAGATCTGTTTTGTTCTGGTCTTTCACAAAGCTGGTATCCTCATACGTCCCTCAAACAGCACGACCCCATGAAAAGCAAACCTGGAAGGGACCCAAAAGATGGGGACCTTCCCGATCAAGCACCACTGCCTCAGAAAGGGTGGCAAAACATGCGAGCTACTAAAGAGATGCATTTCCCCCTCCACCCTAAAGCCTCAGTGACTTGACGGTTTCCATTTTCTTCTCCAATTCCAAACTACACCCTGAACCCTCAACCGTAGCTAATGTGGTGTGTACTTACATATACATATATCGTATCTATTTTCCTTTTCCATTATTTTTCCGTTCTCTTCTCCATACCCTACAGTCCCCCTTGAGTAGATAGAATATGCATGTGGGTATTTTCATAATAAGATACAACAATTTTTGGAAGTATTGTTTACAAGCCACGGCCCAGTCCGTGCACAATCTTGGGGCGTGTGCCAGCAAAACCTGCCACGTGGTTTTGCCCACTTGGTGTGATGACCTACCTGTGTGCATGGCTTGCAGCATTCCGTTTGCCCAGAACCCAGACAAAGAGTTTTTGTGCTGCCCGCAGCCTAAGCCCATCAACAACGAGTTTCTTCCTGCCCAACTCCAAATTGATGGCATGCCCAGTGTCATTGCCAAACTTTGCCAGTAGGGACTTGTAGCCCAAATCTGACGGGGCCACCAGTGCCCAAAGAAATTGCTGGATCGACTGAAGTCCGGGAATAATACCAATAATAAGATCCCCATATGCCCCATATTCTATCTACTTAAGGGGGGACACTAAACCCTAAACCGAGTAAGTCTCTTTGGAGGGGGCTCTTCGACTGCCAGCTCTGTGATGTCTTCATCCGGCGGCTGAGTCGGCTGAGGTTCCCCGGTACTCTGAAATGGGGGATTTCTGGGTTTGGGGTCATTTACGGCAAGTTTTCAGCTTAGATTGTAGGGTCATTCAGGGTGTAGGTTGATGCAGGGTCCACGGGTCAGGCTGTCAGGTGTAGAGTTTAGGTGGATTGGATTTCAGGATGCAGGGTTTGGGGTCTAGTGTTTGCTGAATAGGTGTGAAGTGGGACAGGCATAGGTATTCCAAAAGAAGAAAACTGTAGAATCCCCCACGTAACCTGGAAGCCTGTAAGCCCTGGGTCCTTAACCTTTAAACCC